TGCAGGAGAGCCCTGAGGAGGTGACCGCATTCTGTGCAGGAAGATGGGAAGGACATTTAACCTTGAACTTTACACCTTAAATTACCTTAAACTTTCTCTGTTTGATCATGTTATTCAAAACTAAATATAGTTTCTATGATTATGATAATTATTTTTTTGTGATGAAGATCTCACCTTTTGACAGGCCGGGTTTGGACCAGTGCTTGTAATGCAGCAGGAACAGGTCATAGTCACTAGGGAAACGTCCACACAACATTGTGAACATTAGACCCCCTGGTGACCAGACTGTCGCTGGCCTGCCGTAGTACTTCCCCCTGCTGTGGTACTCTGGAGGGGAATATACTGCTGTGCCTGCAGGAGAGAGGAGTTTGTATGATGTGCAAGTTTGCATTAATGCAGCACGACTGTTCTGTATCTATTAGGAAGAAATTAATTATATCATACATACCATGGTATGACTTGTATGGTGACCTCCTCAGAATGTCCCCGCATCCGAAGTCAATCAGCTTGACTTCGGATGTCTCCCTGTTTATCAGAAGGTTGTCAAGCTTGACGTCACGGTGGAGCACTCCGCGGAGGCAGCACATGTTTGCAGCGTTGAGCCGACTGCCACATGATTTGCCGTGCTGTTTCTTCATCAAGGCTTCCACTGTGACACCTCATGAACTCTACCAGATTCTCACAGGGGAGGAACATTCGAGGACCATGACGAAGTGGTCAGGGTGGTCCTGCCAGTCCAGCAGCCTGATGATTTCTGGCACGCTGGGACCTTTATTCGCCAGGATGGTGAGGGCGATTTCTTTTGGAAGAGGTTTTGGATGATCAGGCGAGAAGAGTTAAGTTATTATGATGGTTACATGGAGGTGGTTTCTCAGATATGGATTTAGCTCAGTCTTAATTTTATTGTGATTAATATTAATATGAGACATTTTATATTTTTATATTGCAATCTACTTACAATGAATATACATTCTGTGTGCTGTCTTTGTGACATATTTCAAAGCCACCTGACGAACAAACAAAAAATATTTCAGTTAATTAAGATACACTTAGGGTTGAGTTAAAAACATTTGGTGGCTTGGTAATATATTTTTACTTTAAGGTCATCCGCCAAACGTCTCCCTTCGTACACCACGCCGAATCCACCTTTGCCCAGCTGAGCACTCCGCGGATGCAGCACATGTTTGCAGCGTTGAGCCGACTGCCACATGTTTTGCCGTGCTGTTTCTTCATCAAGGCTTCCACTGTGACACCTCATGAACTCTACCAGATTCTCACAGGGAGAGGAACATTCGAGGACCATGACGAAGTGGTCAGGGTGGTCCTGCCAGTCCAGCAGCCTGATGATTTCTGGCACGCTGGGACCTTTATTCGCCAGGATGGTGAGGGCGATTTCTTTTGGAAGGGGGACTGGATGATCAGGCTAGAAGACAAATCGTTTTTATGATGGTTAGATGAAGGTGGTTTCCCAAATAGGGATTTGTTTTGGGAAATGCTTTATATTGTTTATATAGTGCAATGTACTTACAAAGAATATACATTCTGTGTGCTGTGTCTTCGTGACATATTTCAAAGCCACCTGATGGGAAAAAAAAACAAAAACTTAAGAAACACTAAGAGGGCTTAGAGTAAAGGATGAGACAGGACAAACATTTGATGGCTTGATAATGTGTTATTTGTATTAACGTTAAGATCATCCTCCAGACGTCTCCCTTCATACACCACGCCAAATCCACCTTTCCCCAGCTGATCACCAATGGTGTAGCGGCTGAAGATGTAGTCTATTAAAAGATAAAATAACATGAAAATTCAAATATTGAGAAGAGTGTTTTGCAATGTGTCAGGCAGTTTTCATGTAATTATACATTTTAATGACTGAATATATATATAGTTCAGTCATGAAACTCTAGATGGCGCAGGCGACGGGTTGTTAACGTAACCGATGATATTCAGAGAGTTAAACGACTTGGCACAAGCTGATTGGTTCATGCTGCATATGCAGCCAATGAGCTTACTGCCTTGCATTTATATGGCTGGCTAGCACTCACTAGAGTTTCCTGCAGCGCGCTTTCAGAGTTCTCTGAAACCCTCCACCTTCCCCAGCTCCACCTGTATAGATCTGCTACGGATTATTTTATATGCTATTTGTGCAGCAGCAGTATGTCTTAAATACTCATGGCACCGTATCGCCATATGCATTGCAGTAGCAGCAATAATCTACAACTACAGCAATAACCAACAGCAGCAGCAATTCATCAGCAGCGTAGCAGATCTATTCTGCCAAGACCAAATACATTAACATTGTCATATCCATCACCATGCTAAAATCTTCCGAGGGTTGTCATGATTTAATTATAGTTTCAACATAGATTAGTACATGTAGACCTATAACAGTAATGTTTTTAACATATCATGGAATAAAGATCTAATCATGGCCTCAACATGGATTTTGGTATAGTATGTACTGATGTGTTTTTTTGGCAGCTCTGAAGAAAGAGTGCAGCCTCCGCCACCACTTCTTGCTCTTTCTTTTCTCCTTCACTCTCCCTGCTTCCTTCCTCTCCTCCTCCTCCTCCTCCTCCTCCTCCTCCTCCTCTTCCCCAATAGCATCCAGCACCTCTGAACTTTCCGTTATTTTTTATATAGGCTGCTACAGTATAAAACAAGAAAAGGAAGAAAGAAAAAAAAAACACTACAAGAACAAAATCCATCAGAATATTGTGATAAAGCAAATATGTATCATAAATTAATAAAATGCTGTATCCTATCCAAATGTTTTAACATATATATATTTAAATATACAACATGTAAAACATTTTAAACAAAAACACATTAAAATGTTTTTTTTTCTGCATATGGAATCTTATATTATTAACTGGTTTAAAATGAAAATTGAGTGTGTGTGTTTGTGTTGATATATATCCTAAGACTAATGACTTTTAGAAATAACTTTTTGTAGCCATTAAGCACGTTCATTAAGCACGTTGTTAGTTTGTCCAGTAGAGGGCGTTTATTTAACATGTAATATGTTCAGAATCCGATTTGATTTAATCGTGTGCAGTCTGTGGTTTTACTGTGCGAGGTTTATTGGTGTGTATCTCTTCTCTAGCATATGAAATGATGTTTTTTACTGTGTGAAATCACTGATGTGCCCTACAGTCAACTCTGTTTGGGAACTGTACATTCAAATCCACATGCAAATTGCTCTTTGCTATCCTAATGCCCAGTTTCACCAAACCTCAAACAAATGTGCCTCTGAATTTATCACCAAGTCATTCTTTTGTGCAGTTTTATGAATAATGTTCATAAGTCAATGTTCAGCAGTCAATGTAAACCTGAGAAAGTGAGCATTTCATGTGTCATAGTTCTGTCCTCTGGTGTTAATTATAAACCAAAACTCAAGGTTTCTAAAGTCAAACACTCCACTGGTCTGTGCGCATGTACTGCAGTTCACCAACCTGTCTGCATACCAGTGGACTTTTTAATGTGTATGTGATTTTCTGTTTGATGTCATGTGTATTTTCATCTTAAAGGAATAGTTCACCCAAAAATGAAAAATGTGCCCTCAGGCTTTCCTGAGTTTGTTTCTTCATCAGAACAGATATGGAGAAATGTATTACATGCATTACATCACTTGCTCACCAATGGATCCTCTGCAATGAATGGGTGCCGTCAGAATGAACGTCCAAACAGCTGATAAAAAACATCACAATAATCCACAAGTAACTGCACTGACATATTTGTTTTGAACTGCTTTTGCTTGTAAACAGTGCTTGCTTCGTGCATATTTCTCTCCTGATTCAGATGAGACAACTTTTTCACTGGACTACGGACTGGTAGTTTGGTAAGAAGTGACTGTTTAATGCTAAAACACCTTAATGATGGATTTGTGTCTTACAAACATGCAGCGTTTTGCTTTACAAGATGTTAACTGATGGACTGGAGTGGTGTGGATTACTGTAATGTTTTTATCAGCTGTTTGGACTCTCATTCTGACGGCACCCATTCACTGCAGAGCATCCACTGGTGAGCAAGAAATGTGATGCTTAATTTTTTCCAAATCTACATATGGTGAGTAAATTTTCTAGCAAATTTTCATTTTTTGGGTGAAATATTCCTTAAGGAATTTTTTTTATCAAAAATGTTAAATTTGATTATAATCCACTCACCTTCATGGCTCTTTCATTCATGTAGAGCAAAAAGGAGCAGAATGTCCAGACAGTGACCACAGCTGTCAAGTAGACTTGGGTCCGTTTGTAAACAGTTGACTTGGAATATAGAACACGAGATGCATAGACTGTGTTTATGATGCTATTTGTGTTATTTTTGGAGCTTGACAATCTCTGGTCCCCATCTACTTTCATTTTGTACAGAATAAGGAAAGCTATTCGAGTTTGGAACGATGTGAGGGTAAATAAATGGTTACATTTTTATTCTTAAATAACCAGGTAAAAACCCATCCATCCTGATTTTAGACTGATCAGGAAGAGTAAAGTGTGTTTGCAGGCCGGAGTCACGCTCCATATCTAGTGACATACAAACCTGACCAATGTTCCACCTGGTTGCTCTTCTTTCACTTCGTTCTTTGAAGATGCTTCTCCTTGATCATACAGGGTTACAGAACTGGATCAGGAACAGGAATTTGCTTACATCCCTAAACAAACGTCACAATACGGCATACATGTTCTGATATAAATGCAGAGGTTATATCGATGTAAGCCAGGCATGCCCCTTTAAACCCATTTTCTGCTTTGCCAATATATGGTGCATAAAGGTTGGCAATAAAATGGTTGATAATGAAGGGAGGACGTTCAATAAACCAAATGTTATCTTGCTCCAGGTAATCAATTTTTAAGGTAGAATTTTTTCTGATATAGTGCACCAGGTGGAGGATACATGTTTTTAGCTCTGGAGAAAAGCAAAAAAAAAAAATCTGATTTATATTTTTTAGTGAAGATTTACATTTAAATGATTTGCATTCATATGCAGTAAATTACTTGTATGTTGAGGAAATGCATAAATGCATAAATGCATTGTGTGAAAGTGAAATTGATATAAAAATAGAGTATACAGGTGCAGCACCTTTAAAGAATATTTGAATTATTCAATGTTTTTTAATGCAATATTACGTATTATTTACATTTTACTTAATCTTACATAGGTCTGTGCATTTATTTATTTATTGTTTTACATTTTTAGTATATCTGTAAATAATGGATAGTCATTCAGTCTCAACGTAAAATTTAAATAAATTGCTTAAATGCATTGTGTGACATTTAAATGGAAATGAATGCAGCACCTTTAGAAAATAAGTTAGTTTAATTCAGTTTTGAGTATTATCAATAAAAAAAAAATTTTATTCCGTGTTTAATATTTTCTACCTTTTTACTTAATAATATGCTGTTTTGTTTATGTATTTTGTATTCTAATAGCAGTAAATAATGCAATAAAAATCCTCCAGTCGTTATCCAAAAAGCTTTTTTTTTTTTTGGAAGAGAAGTGAGATAATTTTATGTAAACATTCCTTTCATAATGTGTCCAAAAGAATAAGAAGTTATTAAAAGTTATTCATGTCCTTTTTTTTTTTTTTTTTTTTTTTTTAAAGCTACAGGGCGAAGTCCTTTAAATATTCCGTGACTAAAATGTTTAGTATATGTTCCAGAAACACTGCATTAAAAGGGCATGCGTTCATATGCAGGCTCCGCCCCCTCTCGCGCGGCAGGTAGCGTTACGAGCGCGAAGCACCTGTCACTCTCGCTCGAGCGCACCTGTTGCATCGTTCTAGACTTTTTGTCATCACCTTTATTTTTTGGTTTGACATTTTTGTATCAGCAAAGTCGCCTTGGCTACCCCAAACCCTCCGAGCTTGGAGCAAAGTTCACCTCTGTGAGAAAACAGATTGAGATGGAGCCTTGAAGAAGAGTTTACCGCAAGACTTTCTGGAAACGGGAGGAATTATCGGCGAACTGAAGAACGGGACCGTAGCCTCTCTCTGCTGAGGGTAAGAGCGCGTTTCTATACGCTGTCAACCCAAGGCCACTGAGAACGACGCTACGCGTCAAAACTAGAACGCGTCCGTTATAAGGAGCGCTTGCTTGCGATGTTTTACTTCTGAAGCGTCTTATTTGTGTTTTAATATGAACGGAACGCAATTAAGTGGAAATTTGCTTTGGTCAGTCACTCAAGTTCTTCGACGTGTCTAGCCGATAAATAGAGGATGCACACTTTAAAATGATTTTGAAGTTGTAAACAAACATTACTGGAGTGTTTCACAAGAACATAATATTTCAGTCTTTCTAGTTAATGTAATGTTTAATTCAACTTTAGCTTTCTTTATCATTTATTATTGCGATTTCTTTGTTGATTTGTTTTTCACTTTTCACCTTTTTTCAGTGTACTGTATGACATTAACAAATGCCATTTCATTTGATTTAATGTCTAGGCGTGGTGTATTAAAACGATCTATGATAGGCTATAAATAGCAAGAACCTCAGGTTTGTGGATTATTAAAGTGACGTTTTAAACTTTCAGTACTAATTCTTTAGCAAACATAAAAAATACTGGGTTGTTTCAACCCAACTTTGGGTCAAATATGGACTAATCCAACTTTTGGGTTAAAAATGTAATGTAAAAATTTAACCCAATGGTTGGGTTAGTCCATATTTGACCCAAAGTTGGGCTGAAACAACACAGCATTTTATAGAGTCTAATATCAATGGTTCTTGAGTCATCCCTGATAGCACACGTACATCACAGAGACGTCTATTTGACATCTATAGAGTCTAATATCAATGGTTCTTGAGTCATCCCTGATAGCACACGTACATCACAGAGACGTCTATTTGACGTCTGCATTTACATCTGCAAGACGTATTTTTAGAGTGTTTGCTCATCTGCAATACATCTATAGGACGTTTCCTATCAGATGTCAAATAGACGTTTAGAAGATGTCTTGAAGATGTTTATGATTTAGAATGTATGTAAAACTGACGTCTATCAGATGTTTGTACACAGCAGATGCTTTCCAGATGAAGCGATCTTTAACAGACGTCTTGCAGACGTGCGTGTGCCATCTGGGATGCAACTAAACGTCAAAATTTTACTTGCCAAGATATAAACAAGTCTGACTGAGGTAGTAACATTGAATAGATGGAGCTGAAATCCAGTGGTCTCAATTAATTAAATTAATTTATTGAACAAGTATATCGCACGCAAACTTAAGTGAATATCTCTGAACAACTTAAAATAATAAAAAAAGAGAGCTAATGAGAGCTAATGTCCTGTGACTCAAAAATCAATGATGTATTGCTTAACAAATCTGGTTTTGCAACTTATGCTTGACTGGCAATATTTGGAATGATAATCAGATATATGTGTGCCATTTATATTCCCAATAGTTGTTATCTTTTGAAAAGTAATATTTGTTTGGAAAACGTTTGACATTCAGGATCCGTTCCAGGTGAACGTGACCGCATTTTCAAACAACAGCAATGACAGCTTGACCCGAGCGCTTGATCAATCCCAAATCTAAACCTTCTTCTGACATCAGACTGGCAAACAAGCACATAAACGTCCCTCTTGATCACAATGCAAGACAAACACAATCATTCACAGAAACCATCATCATCATTATGGATGGGGAATAAAAGCTTTTAGCTGACACAAGCTTTTTGCTCGTGTTTGATTCGCATTATAAAGCCAATTCACCCCTGCAGGGCAAAGGTCCCGCAGACATTATCTCCGTTTGCCCATCTGTTTGAGGAGACATTACTTCATATACTGAAGTCAATATAGGTGAGCTTAATGGTCATGGAGGCTTGACTTTTTTGTTTATAGCTTTTAAAGCTCGCACAGATCAGAGGTTCGATTCGAACTAGGTTTTGTGGTTTTATTCAGGCCTGGGATCTGATTGGCTGAGGTCACCCAGAATCGTTAATTGATTGGTCGCTGTAATTCCTCCCACATCGATGAATCAATCTACTGTCCTGATGATGCCTAAAAATTAGCACAATAGAGCAGGTGAAGTGGAGACAGTCATCAGAGGCTGATTGTTTTTGCTTGGTCACCTAAGTGAAAGCAAATTAAATTACATATCATGTTCCTTGTCAAAACTGGACTCTGATGCATTGATTGATTAGCGTTAGATCAGGTTGCTGGATTGACGCTGTTCAGATGCTTGTTTTGGCTCAAAACTTCATGATATGTTCAAATATGAAGCTGAAATCATGCTTGACCTGGCATGAAACATGTTTGGCTGTGTTTTGCAGTTTTTAATAACCTGGACCATTATAAACTTCTGTGGCACTACTTCATATGTAATGTATATATTCATGTGTTTTGATGTTAAAACAGTGATTTACCGAACACAGAGCAGTACATCTGGAGAAATGCAGATCAACAAACGCAAACTCTGGCCATTAAACAAAACAGCCTGGACAAACAAAGCTAAAACCCAAATGAAAGGTGGAGTGGGTGGAACCAACAATGAGTGCTTAAGGTTAAAAACAAGTGCAGGAGTGGTGGAGGCATGTGAGGCGGCCTTAAGTAGCCACATTGTGAGAGGACATTTTGAATCCGCCCCAAAATGCCAGTCCATTGAACCGCTCAGGTGTGTCAAATACCACAGGCCGTGAGGCAATGAACCTGCAGTCTGTATAAACCTGGAATAAAGAGAGCAGCCATTTAAACTCACCTTGATAAAACATGAGCTGTGGGAAATGCCTTTGAACAGATGACACAATATACTACCAGTGCGTTACATCTAATAAAATAAACAATAGCGTTACAGCAATCATTTTTATGCAAAGTAATGCTAACCTGGACAAGATTTATGTATGATGCTATAATTCATGTATGATATTACAAAGTAATATTATATTATTTTGAACTTTTTATTCACAAAAGAATCCTGAAAAAAAAATGTACCATGATTTCCACAAAAATATTAAGCGGCACAACTGTTTTCAGTGTTGATAATAATCAGAAATGTTTCTTGAGCAGCAAATCAGCATATTCGAATGATTTCTGAAGATCATGTGACACTGAAGACTGGAGGAATGATGCTGAAAATACAGCTTTGCATCACAGGAATAAATTACATTTTACAATATATTCAAAAAGAAAACAGTTATTTCAAAATGTAATAATATTTCACAATATTACCGTTTTTATTATTAAATAAATGGAGTTTGGTGAAAAAAATCTTACTCCCAAAATATACCCAACACTCTCAGAAAAAAAGGTACAAAAGCTGTCACTGGGGCGGTACCTTTTCAAAAAGGTACACCTTTGTCCCTTTTAGGTACTAAAATGTACACTTTAGGTACTTAAATGGATCTTTAAGGTACCGCTATGGACTCTTTAGGTACAAAGGAGTGCCTTTTGAAAAGGTACCGCCCCAGTGACAGCTTTTGTACCTTTTTTTCTGAGAGTGAAACATACAGAACCTTCACAAATTTGCATAATAAAAGAGCAAATCTTGTCTGATAATATTGTGGAAGCTATCAGTTGGTAAAGCAGGACTAGTCAGAAAGGCGATGTTTTTAGTGTGGGGTCAATCACTGCTGTTTTTCCTCACCGTCAGACACCCAGGTGACAAGCAGGTGGTTTTTATAGACCAATTTCACTGTTTGCAAACACTGATGAGGTTTTTTGTGGGCGGAGCCTATCTGGTGGCAGAAAATGACAGTTTTAACATTGCAGTCTATTTCAAGCCATGGAATAAAAGAATAACAATGTAATTGAGTTTATATTTCAACATTTGGACTTTTTTCTTGTAATTCCGAGATTATAATCTCACAATTCTGATAAGAAAAATCAACTCGTCATTCTTTCTTTTTAGTTTATAATCCCACACTTCTGGCTTTTTTTCCTCAGAATTGAGAAACTCGCAATTGTTGACTTGAATAAAGTCCGAACTAGGAGATCTAAACTTGCATTAGCAAGAAAAAAAGTCAGAATTGTGAGATAAAATAGGTAAATGTTATAGTTTAAATAGTATTTCATGCATGTATTTCAACTGTAGGGCTAATACAATATGTCCCCTGTATGAATATTATATAGACCTATTGTATTTATGTTTTAAAAGTAGGGTAATCATAGCAGGTTTCATCCATAATCTGTCCGTTTAAACGTCTGCGTTTAGCTTCAATTGGCATCTTTGACGACAGTGTTATATAAAATGTATTTGCATTCCGATTCTGACATCCAAAGGCACAACAATACATTTTTTCTCTTTTTCCATGGATTTCACCTGTTTCCCTGCACTTGTTCCCAGTGTTTTTCTGCCACCACTATGCGCGCCCAGCTGCAAGTGACGTAACTGTGACGTCTACTCCAAATTGGTCTATTCAAAGTGGGATTGTCTTTTGCTGTGAGTAAGGGTTGTAGTTTGCCTGCGGTGACTAGTCATACTGCATGCAGAGTACACTCTTAAAAATAAAGGTGCTTCAAAAGGTTCTTCAAGCGATGCCATAGAAGAACCATTTTTGGTTCCACAAAGAACCATTGCGTCAAAGGTTCTTTAAAGAACCATCTCTTTCTTACCTTTTTGTAATCTGAAGAACCTTATTTCGCCACAAAGAAGCTTTTGTGAAACAGAAAGGTTCTTCAGGTGTTAAAGGTTCTTTATGGAACCATTTAAACAAAAAGGTTCTTCTATGGCATCGTGAAGCACCTTTATTTTTAAGAGTGTAGACAGTTTCCTTCTTCATATAACAGTGACAATCTTTCTAGAGCAGTTATCTTTTTTCTTAGCTATTTTAGATTTAGTATTTTTAATGTCAGTGGTTTAATGGATGAATCAATGTGAAAAGCAATGTCTTGTAGTGGTTTAGGACACTAATACTCTGAAGTAAACGGGTGTAGAAACTATTTTTACTCAAAAGTTGCTAGAAAGTTTGACAAATAATTACAAAAAAACAGCAAGTTATATAGTATTTTACATAAAACTAGAAAGTAGAAATACTGAAATTCTATTATCTTGTAAAACACTCCAATAATCTTTATTGAAAACGTATTTTGTTTCTTAGCAGAACCTTACCAGCAATTTCCTAATTTCTCCAGTTTTTAAAAGTTGTGTAAATGTTATGACAAAAAATAATAAAATAATGTTTATAGAATGTTCTTATAACATTATTAATATTTGACATGTTCTCAATGTTGAGAGATACTGTATAAAGCTATTTACTACACACTAACTCAAACCCTTGACTGCAAAGAAAGCCGAGTTATCTTTAAAAATAAAATTTCCAGCTGCAAAGCATTTTTGAGTTTTCTCAACTTCAGTAATTGTGGCAACTCATTTTTTGGTTTGTTCACTCTAAACAACATTTTAAGTTAAATCAACTTTCCTCAGCATGTTTAAGCATTTGTTTAAACTTAAAGGATTGAAGAAACTTCTGTTTTAACTTATTTAAATAGCAAATATTCAATTTAGCAAACCAAATCAAAAGGAACACTAATCACAGTAATGACTTTAAACAAAATAAAACAATCAAAAACACTAAATTGTTGTTTTATAAATGCTTTAATTCAGACACATCCTTACAATTAACTGTAGCCACACATCCTTACAATTCTCCATGTTTTGACCAAACAAGCTAAATTAAGCCATTCAAGTGCATTCAAAGTTGTCTTTATTTACACTTTCTTGTAATTTCAACATTTTCTACATCAGATAGTTCATTCAAATTTTAAAATAGAGTTTGTCTGACAAAACAATCCACTCAGCTGATGATGTTCATGTTGTTTGCCATTTATTGAGGTCATTGTGTTAATTATACAATGACTTTTCAGGGCCTCTGACTTTTGTTTAGGGTGGATTAAAGCCTAATTATATATATTAGAAATATATAGGCATCCCTCATATCAGTATTTCACACTATTGAACATCAGCTAGAATGCCACTAACATGCAAATAAAGTCCCTAGTTTTTTTCCTAGGGATTTTACGTGCATATTGTTTTATTAGCGAGTCCAGTTATAAACACACACACACACACACACACACACACACACAGAGGCATCCACTCAGCTGATGATGTTCATGTTGTTTGCCATTTATTGAGGTCATTGTGTTAATTATACAATGACTTTTCAGGGCCTCTGACTTTTGTTTAGGGTGGATTAAAGCCTAATTATATACAGTATATTAGAAATATATAGGCATCCCTCATATCAGTATTTCACATTATTGAACATCAGCTAGAATGCCACTAACATGCAAATAAAGTCCCTAGTTTTTTCCTAGGGATTTTACGTGCATATTGTTTTATTAGTGAGTCCAGTTATAAACACACACACACACACACACACACAGAGGTTCTCCGGTGATCCAGAAACACACATGCCCTCTCATCAGTTAATTGCCGAGCCAGGGAGTTTATTTGTGTGTAAAGCCTCAGAGTATGTAATTAAGCGTCTGAAAAATGTCCGCATCCCGAGGAAAGGCAGGTCTTGTTTCAGGCTGGGCTGCCAGCCTGCTGTTGTCTGCTCCAGCATCTTTACGGGACAGCGGACAGCAGAGCATGTACAACCAAAACAACACTGCGGTTCATCACACCCCGGTACCATGGTAAAACAGGCTTAGTGAGGCATCTGATACACTTCATAAACTCAGATAGTGATATACAACACACGAAGACGGTCTGTGTAACAGGAAATGTTCCAAAACCTTGGGCTAACTTTGTGTAAATGTTGCGTATATGTTTTAAATTGTTCCTAAAATGTTAATGGAACGTCTAACTTACTTGATATTAGTTTAATGCAAGTTCTCACAATGAAATGAGAAAACATTCTTGGTACAACATTGTTATAACTGTTAAAGTTTCCAACTTTCCAACCAACTTTGGGTCAAACATGGACTAATCCAACTTTTGGGTTAAAAATGTAATGTAAAAATTTAACCCAATGGTTGGGTTAGTCCATATTTGACCCAAAGTTGGATTGAAACAACCCAGCATTTTTTTAGAGTGTAGTTTTGGTTGTTCCAACTCTTAATTCTGAGGCTTTAAAGCTGTTGTAAAATGTGGATAAACATTATGCTAACACTTAAATAGCGTTCTTCTCAAATTACGAGAAGTTTAATGTTACTTTAATAGACATTGAGTGATTAGAAAATGCTTTTTTTAAAGCTTAAATTGGACTGTTTGAAAAAAATAATACATGCGTATTGAATATTCAAGAGCTGAGCAAATTGCAGACAGGATGCAGAGTCAGTTCATGCTCTGTTTGATGCTTTTACAGTTCTTCAAAGGAGCCATATGCCTCAAGAGTCACACAGAGATGAATTATTCACAGCGGCCAGGACAGAGCAAGAAAGAAACAATGGAAAGGCCTTTGAAAGAGAGAAGGGTGGAGGCGTGGAAAATAAAAATAGCACAGGGTTTAGTGAGAGATTAAGACAAAGTAAACGGAAAAATTAAAGAGGCAGTTAAAGAGTCATTAGTGCACAAAAATGATGTTTGGTTTTACTGTAATTGCTGTGCTGTGTTTCATTTCCTGTGGTGGAGTTTGGTGTTAATGACGTATTCTGCCTGTCTCTCTTTGTTGCAGGTGGATGTAGTAGAACATGAATGCTTTGGGGACCCCAACAAAAGCAAGCAAGTAAGTCTCAAACTCGAATCATACTCGTATACACGGTTGAACTTGGTCGCTTCTAACCATGCAAGCTCAACTTCATGTTTTTGAATTTCATAATGTGTGAAAGCTCAATTTATAATGCAATGCGAGTACACCATTTTTAATAGCATCTCACTGAGCAAGTTTATTAAAGGAATAGTTCACCCAAAAATGAAAATTGGCTGAAAATGTGTTCACCCTCAGGCCATCCAAGATGTAGATGAGTTTGTTTCTTCATCAGAACAGATTTGGAGAAATGTAGCATTGCATCACTTGCTCACCAGTGGATGCTCTGCAGTGAATGGGTGCCGTCAGAATGAGAGTCCAAACAGCTGATAAAAACATCACAATAATCCACACCACTCCAGTCCATCAGTTAACATCTTCTCAAATGAAAAGTTGCGTGTTTTTGCTTCAAACCGTCACTTCCAGCTCTATCCATAATATTGCCTTTTCCAGTGAACAAGTTGTCTCGTCTGAATCAGGAGAGAAATATGCACAAATCAAACACCGTTTACAGGCAAAAACAGATCTAAACAAATATGCTTGTGGATTTTAATGTGCGATAACAACAGTAGATGGACTCGTTCATTGGAGGAAGCATTATTATGGATTTTGGACTCATATTTTGGCCAGAAGTGATGGTTTTGTAGTGAAAACACTGTAATAACAAACATGTTTTTCAACTTTTCACTTCACAACACATTAACTGATGGACTGGAGTGGTGTGGATTATTGTGATGTTTTTATCAGCTGTTTGGACTCTCATTCTATCGGCACCCATTCACTGCAGAGCATCCACTGGTGAGCAAGTGATGCAATGTTAATTTTCGAAAAAAAAAAAAAAAAACTGTCTTGAATGGATTGAGGGTGAGTACAATAAATTTTAAACAGTAATTTTTTTTCATTTTTGGGAAATATTTCAAACTGTAATTACCTTCGTTGTGCGGTGTATTACGAAACATAAGAGGACAGCATGGTTACACTGCAGTAGCTCAATGCATTTGTGCTTGTGGCTTTCAAATAGCATGTTTCTGGCATTATATGCATGTAAAAAGAATGTAGCTTTTACTAATGTTTTTTAGGACCTACACACACCTAACCAAACATCCCGTAGTTAGTGATTTTTTTGTGAGATTGTGTGTGTGTATTACAGTTAACAGAGCAGCACTGTTTGGGAATGTTTGCCTTTCTTGCCCTGTTGGAAACAACCTGTCTCGGTCTCTCTCTCTCTCATACCCCCTTCCCTCACTCCCATATGCTCTCACAACCTGTAGATCTTTCTAATCAGTCTTGCTCAGTCTGTGTCCAGTGTTCACATTAGACCAGGACACTGAGTGTGTACCGTTAAGAGTGTATTACAGTTAACAGAGCAGCACTGTTTGGGAATGTTTGCCTTTCTTGCCCTGTTGGAAACAACCTGTCTCGGTCTCTCTCTCTCTCTCTCTCTCTCATACCCCCTTCCCTCACTCCCATATGCTCTCACAACCTGTAGATCTTTCTAATCAGTCTTGCTCAGTCTGTGTCCAGTGTTCACATTAGACCAGGACACTGAGTGTGTACCGTTAAGAGTATTTTAATCAAAACTAAAGACTGTAAAGTAATGAAGAGCAGACATCGTCCTCCACCCTCCTCATCCTCCTTTGCTCTTCTTTGCAGTGGGGTGGCCAGATCGGACAGCAAGATCAGTGCCAAAACCCTGTTCGGTAAGTAAACATCACATTTATTTGTAAATTAAAGGTGCTGTGAGCAATCTATCTATCTATCTATCTATCTATCTTGTACACTATTAAGTCGTTATGGTAAAATTTGCTAAAAATGCTAGAAACTATCTGCTAAAACAAATATAATAAGCCTTATTTATTAAACAAACACTAATTTATAATATAAAATAAAAAAATAAAATATTTGACTTCAAATAGAATGAAATAAATGATTTGTTTTACTTTAAATATATGAAATAAAATAGCTAACAGCACCTTTAACATGTTATGTACACTTTATTAAGATGTTAGGGTGAGAAGTTATGTGCTAAAACGAATATAATAAACATTATTTATGGAAAAAACAACACGTACTAATTTTTAAATAAAAATAAAATGAAATATTCTACTTTGAATAATTAAAATAGATTTTATTTTACTTTACATATATAAAATTAAATAGCTCTTTTAACATCCACCTTTAACATGTTTTTATATACGTTAAAACATGATGAAGCCAATATAATGGGCCTTATTTATGAAACAAATAAAATACTTGTTTTTAAATTGTCTTTTGCTAATTTTTCCACTGAAATAAGTGTAACATTTCACACAAGGACAGTTTTATGAATGATTTAAATTCATTCAGCTTGTATTTCATGAATAAAGGCCCGTTCACACCAAGCACGATAACTATAAAGATATAGTTCTAAAAATCGTTCTCAATATTAAAGAATAGCATAGTTCACACCACAACTATAACGATAACGATACAGAGGAACGATATCGTATATAATTTTTTTAAAATATACTTTTTTATTTTTTACAAATGTAACCACATTTTCAGTAACAATGCAAAACATTCTCATTACGGCCATGCAATTGGATGTTTTCTTTTTGAATAATTCTCATGATTATAGTAGGATTCTCAAGTTATACTTTTATTATATCAAGATGATTTGAGATTTTTTTTCCCATATGGGGTAATAAATTAATAAAATCATCAGAATGAATAAATAATATAGGGTAAATAATGAGTAATAACAGTAATGAGAATAAAAATATTTTGCATTGATTAAAAAAAAAAAAAGGTAGCATAAAAGTCACAAAGCAATAATTTTAATAAACCTAATTTTCTTTATGCAAATGATCATTTCTTATGTCTTTAGAGATTGAAATGAAATATGACCAGGGCATGTTCTTTATAGGCTTTGTGCAATTCACCCGTGTGTTTATGTGTGTGTGCATTTATGCACCTGAGTCTTACATCACAGACACAACATGTTTTTATGTTTTTGTGTTCTGCACTCTGGCAATGACCCATGGGATGGTACACAGTCCTGCCAGGGGAACACAAATGCACACATGCAGAGTCAAATCTGATGCTCTTGCAAAGTTTCGCATTTCTGTTTGCTCATACGCACTATGCCTTTAAATCTGTTCCCGTGGTTTGGTTTTATTGTGTCGTGTACTCGGTTTAAACCTCACTTCCCATCAGCCCTCTGCAAACCAGTCCATGCAAAAAAAAAAAAAAAAAAAATCAGCAGCATCATGTTTCACAAAGAGACCATGCAAATGATCTGGAACACTTCAAACCCCATACACTTATCACACAATCACAGATAAATGAGTGAAAGACATTGTCTGATTGACTGGCTCAGGACAGCATTACAACTGCTGGACTCCTGTAAACAGTAATGTAATATGTTAAATCTAGTCTGCTTTCTATGGAAGCCTGTTTCTCTAATGGGATTTTAAAAAGAGGTCATGAACTGCCTTTTTATTATTTTGTACTGTTCTCTATGGTCCACTTATAATGTTATCAAGATTTTTACATCAAAAAACTAATAATTTAGGAGTAATAGGCTATTTTCTGTTCTGTTTTTACCCCTCATCAGAACGCTCTGTTTAAATTGGTGTGGTGGATTGTAGACTTGGAAGTAAATGCCCACTGCTATGATTAACTAACAGCTGTGTGTTTAACAGCCTACAGCCTTCATAGATGGATGCTGCTGTGATTTAGGTTAAAAACACTTAAATACTCAGTACAAATCAAATGATCTGTAATAGCAAAGCGATAGTAAACATGTAATAAAAACGGTTACTCACACTTGTGTGCTGCGACATTACTGTCGATCCAATATATTCGGCACAGCATCGTCTTTTAGTTTCAATCTTTCTGAAAATCCTGCGCCGAATTGTGCCGTGTTTGTAAACGAATCCGTGGTAAAATAATGTGAACAAAGGACCGAGTTCTTACTGATGTGGAACTGGATCTGAATAGCGTCTTGTTGTCTTTGGAGTCATCTTTATCGTTTGGTTTCTGTGTAGACCTGCGTTTGCCTCTCTCGTTATTTACACTACATGCGTGAATTGGTGGGTGGAGCTAAACAGACAGTGATGTTGAAGCAGGCGTTGATGTTCTTCTGCGGAGGCGGGGTTTAACCACACTATTACATCATAAAGTGTCACATTCCACAAGCTGTCGTTTTGGCAGATTGGCTTCAACATAAGCTGTTTTTAGACCAACGAGAAAGTTTTGAGTTCTGAAACTTACAGGATGTTTTTATAGTACAATGAGCTCTTATATGTCAAAAGATCAAGGGAATTTTGATTTCTCAGTTCATGACCATTTAAAATTTTTTTTAAATGTAATTGTGACTTTCTCACAATTCTGACTTTTCTTGCAATTCTGAGCTTATATCAAACAATTTGGATGTTTTTTCTCGTAATTCTGAAAAAAGGTTACAAATGTTAAGTCACAAATAGGAGATGTAAACTTGAAATTCTGAGAAGAACAGTTGGAATTGTGAGATTAAAAAAAAAGAAAAAAGTAATTTCCTTTATTTTTATTCTGTGGTGGAAACAAAGAAAACAGAATTGCTAGATGTAAACAGAGTTGCAAGAGGTAAACTTAGTTGCGAGATGTAAATTTGAATTGCGAGATGTAAATTTAGAGTTGCGAGATGCAAGTTTAGAATTGTGAGATGTAAATGAACAATTACGAGATGTAAATTTAAAGTTGAGATGTAAACTTGCGATTGCGAAAAGTCAATTTTGAATTGCACGATTTAAATTTAGAATTGCAAGATGTAAACTCAGAATTGTGTAAATTTAAATTGCGTAAAGTTACAATTGTGAGATATAAACTTTCGATTGTGAGCTGCAAACGTAGAATTGCAAGGTATAAACTTAGAATTGCAAGATGCAAACTCAGAATTGTGAGAAAAAGTCAGAATTTTGAGTTTATATCTCACGATTCTGACTTTTTTCTCAGAGTTGCAAGATAAAAAAAAAAAAAAAAAAAGGTCAGGATCTGTGCTGGTGATGGTTAGCGGTCACTCACCCCATACGACAAAAATTTCCATACTGCCTAAATTATTTTCCATACCACCCAAAACACCCTAGCAACCGCACAATAATGCAACACCCATGTGGTTTAATATATAAACTGTTGACTCTGCATGTTAGAATGGTGCTTTGAAACTGTGAGCGCAGAGGATGCTGTGTGTGTTTGTACGTGTGGTTGTTGTGGCCCATGTGTAACAGATGGCGTTCCCTGAATTGTTTCCAGATGGGACACTGTAGCCGTTTGGCATGGCAGCATCACGACAGGTTGTACCTGCGGAGGGGATTGAGTTTTGTCTTGATGGCAACAGTTCATTTAGATGGTTGCTGTTTGTGACATGAGACCATATTTACAACCTATTTTACATCTGTGATGTATTTATGAAGGAAAAAGAATTTGTAACTATTAAAAAATCTCAACCGGGACCATCAGGAATGGGTGAAAATTACAATAATTCTTACAATGAAAATGATGGGGAAAAAAGACCCCTACATTTTGAACAGTATTGTAATATAAACCAAATGAGTGTTTCAAACTTATGTTAAAGAAAGTTCACATAAAAATATAAATTCTGTTATCTTTTATTGACCATGTCATTCCAAATTTGTTTGCAGAATAAACGAAGATATTTTGAAATGTCTCTGTGTTTAATTTTGTCTATACAATAAAATTTAAGTTGTCTGGACACCAACATTCAACAAAACGTCGTCTTTTGTGTTCCACAGAAGAAAGAAAGTCAAACAGAGAAAGACAGCTGTGCATGTTGTGAAAGAGAGACAGGTGAGAGACATGCAGAGGTGAGAGATGCTGAGTGACAGAGAGGTGAGACAGATTGTGTTACTGGACCTCCAGCAGTCACGTTAGGACAGCGCTTGCCTGACGGTGTGTGTGTGTGTGTGTGTGAGAGTGCAAATATGCTTGTGTTTGAGGGTCAAAGGTTTCCGGCGGAGAGATTTTCTACCAAAGGCCATCTTTTATTCTTGTTTGAACTGAAGTTTACAATGCAGTGATATGTACTTATTGGTACGTATTTCGCGTCTCGCTAAAAAGTGCCCCCAGGTACATTTATGCCATGAGACCAGGTAGGAAGTTTATGTGCTGTAAAGTGCCATCAGGTTGCAAACTGAGGTTGGAAAGTATGAATATTGTGAGGAGAAGAACTGTGCTTCTGTCACACTTTGTCAAACCTAAAATCTACAGGAAACAACTTTACACAGGAAAAAATAGGTCTGTCTACAGTAAAACATCTAAACCTTCTTAATATTAAGATATATTTACTAAAATTACCAGAAAACAAGACGTATTAAAATTAAGTGACTTTATGCTTAAAACAAAAACGAATATCTGCCAGAAAAATAAACTTTAGAGAAGAAATGTGCTCAGTATTTTTGTTTTGCTTTTTCAGTGAAACATTTAAATATTCTTAAATCAAGATACACTTACTTGAGAAGCAACAGTTTCAGAAAACAAGTCTCTATATCTTATCAAAATTACGAGACTTTATGCTTAAAACCCTTTCAGTTACGTTTATTTTTCTGACCTCATTGGCAGATATTTTTTTCTTGTTTTAAGTGTAAACTCACTTAATTTTTAAGTGACCAGAAAACAAGACTTAATACTTGACGTCTCTTTGCATTTGAAATAAAATTCTTGA